TATAGTGTACACTTTTGTATGCCACACTATGCCATGCCATAGGGCTGCTATCTCTTGAGGGAGAGGTGACTGGTAGTAGTTTAACCTGAGGGTCACCATGTCTCTGAGGGCAGAGGTTGAGTAACCTCAGCCAGTATGGGAATTGCCACCCACCAGGAAGAATACAAATAATTGACAAAAGTACTGAGAGATTCATGAGAATGATTCTACAGTTATGAGGATAGACTGCATAAGTTGGGACTGTTTTCCTTGGACATGAGAAAGCTAAGAGGAGAATTGATAGAAACTTCCAAAATTATGAAGGGACAGTGTAGATAGGGGTGAAACTGTTTCCAGTGGAACAGATTTAGTGTTTTGCAAATGAAGTCAGTGTGAGGTGAAAAATACGTTTTGCACACGCGGTTAGGGTCTGGATTGCACTGTCTGGAAGTGTGGTGGAGGCAGATTCAATTGTGACATTCAAGAGGTCATTTGGTGATTAAATCGAAATACTGTGCAGGTTGTGGGGAAAAGTCAGGAGATTATCACTAAGTTGAAATGCTCAAACAGCTCTAACAGACATGATAGGCTAAATAGCATCCTACAGCACAACGTTTTTTGATAAAATTGATGAGTTCAAGGCACACACTGCCACAGCAATAATTTTCAATTGGACAGAAATTAGAAAGAGGTCACCACTTAATTTTTTTTTGGGAATAAGCGAAACCAGGTGGATCAAATGACAGAGATAGTAGGAACTGCCGATGCTGGAGTCTGAGATAACAAGATGTGGAACTGGATGAACACAGCAGGCCAGGTAGCATCAGAGGAGCAGGAAAGCTGACGTTTCGGGTCTGGACCCTTCTACAATAGCAGCAGTGGACCCATTCACCCTGAAATCACCAAAATTCTGGGGAACGTTCAATAACAGGCAACCAACTGGAGAAAATATCACCCTTATAAGTGGAATGAACAGAATCTAGTCATAAATAATCTGAAGATATTTAGATCTAGGACACTGTCCTGAGGAACTCCTCCTGTGCTGACAGGGAACTGAAATGCTTTCCTGCACGGCCATTTTCCTTCATGCCAGTTATGGCTCAAGGCATTGAAGTATAGGATGCCTCCTTTCATACTGTAACCAATTAGTCTGTCTTGTCTGCGTTGGCCCTCCTAACGACCAGTTTACCTAGTGCCATCCCTGACTTTCACCCTGTGCTACAGCATGTTCTTTCTTAGAGAATAATCACTTCCCTTTCCAGCTTCTGTTAACCTGCCTCCATCACACTTTTTGGCAGCGGACTCCAGATCCCACATTTGAAAAATAAATATTCATGGGAGGTGGACATCGTTGGCTGGGCAACATTTATTGCCCATCCCTAATTGTCCTTGACAAGGTGTTGATGAGCTGCCTTCTTGAACTGCTGCAGTTCATTTGTCGGTAGAACTGCAATGCCATTTGCAAAGAAGTTCCAGGATTTTGATTCTGTCATACAGAAGGAGCAGTATAATATTTCCAAGCTGGGATGATGAGTGACTTGGAGGGTAAATTGAAGGTGTCTGCATCCCCTTGTCCGTTTATATGGTAGTTGTCATGAGTTTGAATGGTGCTGTTTTAGAAGGGTTGGAACATTTTTGCAGTGCGTTTTGTAGATGGTACATGCTGCTTGTGAGTTAGTGGTGGAGGGAGTGAATGTTTGTGGATGTGGTGCCAATCGAGTGGGCTGATTTGTTCTGGATGATGTCAAGCTTCTTGTATTGTTACAGCTGCGCCCACCCAGGCAATGTAGAAGTGTTCATCACGCTGTTAACTTATGCCTTGTAGATGATGGTCAAGTTTTGGGGAGTCAGGAGGTGAGCTTTTCGCTGCAGGATTCCTAGCCTTCGATCTGCTCTTGTAGCTATTCTACTTATGTGGCTAGCCCAGTTCCAGTTTTGGTCAATGGTAGCCCCCAAGGATATTGATAGTACAGTATTTAGTGATGGTAATGCCATTGAATGTCAAAGGACAATGGTTAGGTTCTCTCATTGGAGATGTAATTTCCCGACATTTGTTTGGCAAGAATGTTATTTGCCATTTATCAGCCCAGCCTGGATGTTGCCCAGATCTTCTTGCAATTGAACGTGGACTGCTTCAGTATCTGAAGAGTCATGAATGGAATGGAACATTGTGCCTTCATCAGTGATTGTCCTTTGTGTTAGGTATGACTCCAATCAGCAATGAGTTTCCGTGATTTCCATTGTCTCCAAATTTGCTAGGACTCCTTGATATGACAATCCGGTTAAACGTGCCTTATGATGTGAAGGGCAATGACTCTCACTCTGCCTCTGGAATAGAGTTTCTTTCTTCCTGTTTCATCAACTTGCAATGAGACCATGAGCTGAATGGTCCTGGTGGATCCTGAACAGAGCGTCACTGAGCAGGTTATTGCTAAACAAGTGCTGCTGATCTAGAATAGACGATAGAGTGGTAAATGGCAATGTTGGATTTGTCCTGCTTTCTATGTAGAGGGTATACCTGGGCAATTTTCCACATTGTCACATAATTGGTAAGTCTACAATACGATTTCTGGAATGCTGTCACACATAACCTTTTTAGTATCTGTTGCCTCCAACCTTGATATCATATGGAGTGAACTAAATTCGCTGAAGACTGCCATCTGGGATACTGGGGATCTCAGGAAGAGGCTGAGATGGACCATCTATTCTGCAGTTTTGCTTGAAGATTGTTGCGAATGTTTCAGTCTTTGGAACTCTTAGTGGGTGCTGCCATTATTAAGGATGGGAATGTTTTTTGAAAACTTCTCAGTGAGTTGTTTAATTGTACTCTTCCATTTATGACCATATGTGGCAGTACTGCAGAGCTAGATCTGATCCAATAGTTGTGGGATTGCTTAGCTCTGTCTATCATTTGCTGCCTGTGTTATTTGGCCCTTTGGGAAGAAGTTCCAGGATTTTGACTAAGTCATGCAAAAGGAGTAGTATAATATTTCCAAGTTAACTCCTTGTTTGTGGTGTGCCTGATGCTGCTCCTGGTATACCCTCCTGCACACTTCATTGAATCAGGGTTAATCTCCTGGCTTGATGGTAATGGTAGTGAGAAATAAATACTTTATCTCTGGGTTGTTTGGCAATTTCACTTTACTTTTAAAATTATTTCCTCATTTTAGTATTCCTAGCATTCTCCACCAGCCACAATATGTAGTCTTTCTCATTGAAAATATATTCATCGTGCTTCTACACAGTTGTAGAATATGGTCATTAACCAAGGGAGTGATGTTAGGAAGTGATTATTTCTTTGGTCAAAGAGATGCGGAGGCAGTGATTTAGGACCTAAATGACTGAAGATAGAGTAGTTATTGTTATGGTGAAGGAAATGGCATATACAAAAGAACAGAGGCAAAGAAATGGAATGTTTTTGGGGAGAGATTATAAGGCTGGAAGTAAACAAAGCCATAAAGGGATTTAAGCAAGTGGATCAGAATTTTAAATTTGAGGCTTTGACAGACTGAAAACCATTAAGAAATGAACTGTAGGCCTTCTGCTTTTGTAGTACTCTGCATTTAATCTCTCTTTGCTTCACCTATCCCTATACTCCATTTCCAAATATTACCCTTTTGTGATGCCATCTGAAAACATATTAAATTGGGAGTGGTAGCATGGTATAACTTTGCCAGACTAATGAATCAGGTACTCGGACTAAAGATGACGACTGCACATCCTGAGTTGGAACTCCCTTCCCTGTTCTGTCACTGCTAAGTTAAATTTCTGGAATTCCCTTTCTACAGCACTTTTGGTGTATCTATACCAAATGGGCTTCAGTTGTACAAGAAGGTGGCTCATTGTTTTCTTCTTGAGGGTAATTACGGAAGGATACTAATTGCTGGCTTTGCCAATGACACTTGCAATCGAAGAATGACTAAAACAAAAGTTCCACTTGTGCGCTCCCAAAGCCTGGCTCTATTCATCACCTCTCGATCCCTGGGATGAATGGGGCCAAGGATAGGAGGCCATTGAAAGCCAGCCCGTTCCCTTGCATGTAAAAGCCCCATCCTGTGATTCTGCCCTCAAGCTGTCACTCCCCCTCACCTTAAGTGTTTCTGTGCAGTCAGCAACCTGGGTGTCCCAAAGCAGTAACCTCAGTGGTTGCTGGCAGTCTCAAGTGTACTGGTAAATCAATATCCTGGGAGGTTGTTGACTGAGAAGTTTGTTGGATATCCACAAGTGCCTGATTGGTACTTGGTTCAGTGGACTTTCTGAAGATGGGAGTAGGGGAAGGAGGTCTTGCTGATGATAATAATACATACCCTACACGTTATCTAAAAATGCAAAATCCTGGTTATAGACTGCAATTCCCATTCAAGCTGTGTACCTTAACCATCTCTTTCAACCCTGTCCCTACCTGAGGCTGAATTAGACAGCCAGCAATTCTTCAAACCATATTTCAACTCCAACACTAAGATTGTCCCTTCCAACTTTTAATTTCACCTTTTTCTCCATCTCAGTTCATCTGCTTTGTTACCATAAGACAAGTACTTCCAGTGCCAGCTTTCCCTCTTCCACCTTCCATAAATCTGATATTGTCCAACTGCTGTTCGTATAAGTTGTTTCCTAACTTATACCAAATCCTGTTCACCTATTACCCTTGTACTCACTGACCAATATTTGCTCCTGGTTGAGCAACATCTTAATTTTTAAAATCTTCATCCTTGTTTTCAAATCTTTCCAGGTTCTTGCCCCTTGCTACCTCTGACAAGTTTTACAAGCATACTGAATCTCCTCGATCCTCCAATTTTCATACATCCTGATTTTAATCACTCCAACATTAGCAGCTGTGCCTGCAACTACCTAGGTCCTTCTAATGTGAGAAAAGACAAGAATGTATTATCTTCCTCATTAATTCAGCTTCTTTATAAATTTAGGGATTATCATAACCCCATGGGGAAAATTGCCAATAATGGTTTGTTTAAGAACTTGTAGTTTCTTTATTGGTAATTTTTCTTCTTTATTTTTGTACACAGAAAATGATGAATATAAGCCTCCAGTTTGGAAATCTTACTGTAAGTACCCATTTACTTCAAATAAAATTCCAATTGGAGGATTTAATGTGGACATATGTTGTTTGCGAAAGCAAGTTTTCCTTAAGTACAGTTTTCTGACATCCTTTCCCAAATTCTTTACATAGCTGAACTTGGAGGTTTAAGGTAGCCCATAAATGAGTTATTCTTTTGAAATCAATGTGATTGTGTTTAGGAAAAATATAGTTCTGGATGTTGTCTTCTACATTTATACTAAAGTGAAGAGAAATACGATAAACTGAAATTTCTAACTGAAGTACTGTAATTGTAGAAAAAAACTATCAATTTTGAACAAAGTGTCTTACAGTACTTTCAATAATTGTGTATAGATTATCTGAAGACTTCTGAAATCTTAAAGTCTTGGTAGCTCAATAGCTGTAGTGATACAACACTCGACTTCCAACCAGAAGGTCACGAGTTCAAGTCACAGAACTGCCTCTCACTGGAACTCACTTGCCTCAGTTGGGTGAGTTCTATGATTTATCAGCTGGGTCTTAAGTGAAGCGCCAGATATGAACAAAGTGTGCGAATATTTGAAGGAAGTTTGTGACGGAATATTGCTACCCCAACTTGAATTTTAACCTTTTCATACATTTATAATTGGGGAAACATATTGACCATGATATTGAGCAAGTCTAAAGCCCATCTTTCATATTATTGTTTGAAGGGGGATGTATGATGATAAATTAAGCTTGTGGTAGGTAAAGTGCATGTGTTGAGGAGGATCTAAATGCTTTGCATAGTTAAGTACTATGTCCAAGGTGGTGAACGAGCAAGGGACATTTGCTGTGAGAGTTTTGCGGGTTTGATCTGACCTGCATCTTGATCTGATTTCCTGATCTTGGCTGTGCTAATACAGGAGGAAGCTAAGACACTTGATACTTCTCAAAGAACCAATTTGAAAGGCAGATATGGTTACCAACTATGATTTAAATCTATTCCTAACCAAGTTATCACATGATTTGACTTCATGCTCCTATCATTAGATGGCCAATATAATCATTATTATGATGCACTGCCTTCCTTGCCCAATTGGAAAGTAAAATGACTCCTTCCCTAATTCAATGATGCTTAACTGTCAACCAAACAGACACTTTTTTTCAATATTTTTATGTCTAGTGAAGAGGAATGTTCAAAGAAAATTACAAAAGAATTAATCCCCATGATTCTTCTCCAGAGTCACGCACAACAGTTCCTGGAGATTGATCTTCAATTCCCAGAGTCTCCAGGCTGATCCTGGAGGACTGGCAATCCTCAAAGGGGATCCAATTGAAAAAGGGGTCATTTCATCATGAATCCTTTCAAAGGAAAAGGAATTGGAAGCAGTTCTCTCTGTATCTTCAGAACAGAATTTGTTCTGGTGAAACCTGAACAGGGAAAAATTTCACTCAATGTATGAATAACGTGAGACTTCAGATGCAAGAACTCCAACAAATTTCTCAAATAAGCTTAAAATTAATCAATTTTTGAGCATTTTCAGTAGCAATTTTCACCTAACATAAATGCAATTAACTTGGAGTTAAAATTGTAGATGTTTACTAATTCCAGCAATGTGTCCACATGATTTCCTATTAATGTGAAAGTTGAAAAATACGCTTCTTCAGTGTATCACAATCACCAAAACCACAGAACTATCATGGCCCAAGAGGCCATTCAACCCATTTTCTTTGCACCAGTTGTGCAAATATGCAGAATGACTTAATGCCATTTTTCCTGTCCTTTCCCTGTGCCCTTGCACATTTTAAAATTAAAAACCATAAACTAATACCTTTTTGAATGTCTCAATTGAATCTGCTGCTACCATACTTCTAGGCAGTATGACAGTTGTTACGATTGAGTGCGGGACTGCTAGCTTCAAAGAAAATCTGAACACACTAGTATGCAACAAGATTTCACATTTTTAAACAAAATACCACCTTGCTAGAGTCATTTAAATTCCATTAATAAATCTAAAATTAAAGGCTCACCTCAGTAACGGTTATCATGAAGCCATTGGCAATTGATGGACTTTTGCAACAAATTGACTAATGTCCTTGAGGAAAATATTTTCTTCATTATTCAGTCATGGGATGTGGGTGGTGATGACTAGGGCAGCATTTATTGGCTATTTCTAATTAGTCTGGAACAGGTGATGGTGAGGTACATTCCTGAATTGCTACAGTCTTTCGGATATAGAGACATCCACAGAGCTGGTAGGGAGGGAGTTCCAGGCTATTAATTCTGACCGTGAAGGAGTAGTGATATGGTTCCAGGTCAGGATGGTATGTGCCCTGCAGGGGATCTCGCAAATGGTGCTGTTGCCATGAATCTGCTGCTATTGTCCTTTTGATGGGGCAGGTTGTGGACTTGGAAGTTGTGGTGGAAGGAGCTTTGATGAGTTACTGTGGTGCATTTACTAGATAGTATCTACTGCTATTACAGTGCATTGATAGTGAAGGGGAGTGAATGTTGAACGTGTTAGGTGAGGTGCCAATCAGATAGGCTGCTTTGTTATTGATGGTATCAAGCTTTTCGAATTTTGTTGGAGCTGCTCTTATCATACAGGCAAGTGAAGTTAAATTATACCCCTGACTTGTACCTTGTAGATGGACAGGCTTTATGGAGACAGCAGGTGAGGTACTTGCCACACAATTCCTAGCCTGTGTCGCCATGATATTTATATGGCACGCACGGTTCATCTTCTGATCAAGATAATATCCAGGATAGTGGTGATGTGTGATTCAGCGATGGTAATGCTGTTGAATATTGAGGGATGATGGTTAGATTTCTCTGGATTATTGCATGGTAGCATGAATCTGTTTGCCGCTTGTCACCCCAAGCTGGACGTTGTCCTGTCCTTACAAACATAGACTGCTTCACTATCTGAGAAGTTTTATAAGTAGCATTGTACATTGCAATCATCAGCAAACATCCCCAGTTCTGACCCTGTGATAGAGGGAAGTTCATTGATGAAGCACTTGAGGCCTGGAGCACTATCCTGAGGAACTGGGGACTGTTGTGGTGCAGTGATAGTGCCCCTACCTCTGAGCCAGAAGCTCATCTGCTCCAGAGAGGTGACCTAACACAATAAGACAGGTTGATTTAAAAATATCTACTGTGAGGAACTCCTTTACTCATGCCCTAAGGCTGAAATGATTTACCTCAAAACAATCACAGCATCTTCCTTTGTGCCAAGTGTGTCTCTGATCAGTACAGCATTTTCCTCCGAATTCTCATTGACTTTTGTTTGAGCTTCTTGATGCCATATTTGAGGAATGCTATTTTGATGTCATTGACAGTCACTGTGGAGTTTAGCTATTATGCCCATGTTTGAACCAAGGCTATAATGAGATCAGGAGCTGAGTGGCCCTTATGAAACCCCAACTGAATGTCACTCAGCAGGTTATTTCTTTGCAAGTGCTACCTGATAACACCCCTTCCATTACTTTGATGATGGAGAATGGACTGGTACGGAAGGTAATTGGTTGGATTGGATGAGTTCTGATTTTAGCGCACAGGACATAGCTTAGGTTATTTTCCACATTGTAGATTTAATGCCAGTATTGTAGTTATACTGGAACAGCTTAGTTAAGTGTGGCTAATTCTGAAGCACAAATCTTCAGGACTACTGCCAGTATGTAGTCAGGGCCCATAGCCTTTGCAGTGAATACTATCTTCAGTCATTTTTTGATATCACATGGTGTGAATCAAATTGTTTAAGTCTGGGACCTGAGATGCTAGGGTGGGAGATGTTTACATTTACTGGCTAATGTTTAACTCAACGTGCAGTAATATGATTTAATCTTAACTTTCATCTGGAATGGTCTAGCATCATAATCAATTCAAGCGCAATTAGGGATGGGCAACAAACGCTGTCATTACCTGTAATACCCAGATCCTATGAAACAAAAAACAAATTACAGGAAATAAAATTAACAGCATTACTTATTTCCACATATGACATGCCCTTTAGTTACTTATTTTCCACAAGAATTTTCTGATGTGTTACAATATCTTACTTATCTAATTCTGTAGAGACAATCTCAAAAAAATGCCAAGCTCCTCCAGAAGCTGCTTTCAATTTTAGTCAGTTTCAGTTATTCTCAGAGTAACGCTTTCAATTACCACCTTTCACTGTGAATGCCTGAGTCTCTTGTTCAGATTATCTTAATATTTCTGATTTTTCTTTTGCAACAAGACCGTGAAAACCCCTGTAAATTTTTCACCAGCTTCAAAGTGGACAATCTTCCAGCTTTTTTTTTCTTCCTCTCGTGAAATCCAAACTTAGATTAAGTCGTACCAGAGTACCACATGGTGAATTATTAAATTAGCATTTTCTGTGCCTACAATGCAGGCCTAACTAATCATTATTTACTTTGGCTAGTTTCTCTCGGTGACCTACAAACTGCACACAACCGGTTTGAATTGGAACCAAAGCTTTCGGCAATCGCCATTATCAATTGAAACCAAAGAATCTCCCTAAGCTCCACCCATCTTCATGACGACATGGCACTCTCTGCGACATACACAAACAGACCTTTTAGATTAATTATCCCTCATTTGAAATTCATTCTTTAAATTGAAGAAAGAAATAATAGGTTTTGCGATCCTTCAGGGTTTACCAAACAATTTTAAATTAATTTAGCTCTAACTGCCGAAACAAAAGCACCTCTCTGGACTGCAAAGATTGTGCATTTAAAGCAGTTCTTTAGTTAGGTAAGCCCATCTGTTCATGACCTTATCTTTCAAATGGTTAACCTGTTAAATAGTAATGGGAGCAACCATTTAAATGTAATAAACATTAAGCTTGATTGAATTTTATTCACCCCGGGTTACTCATCAGTTTTCCCCATCAGATGCCTGCATTCTACATTTAAAACTACTTTTTTGAACTAAAGGTAATAGTTTAGTATTAATAGAATGTGAATAATAAAAAAAAACCGTGGATCATGGAAATCTGAAATAAAAACAGTGCTGTAGAAACTCAGGAGGTCTGGCAGTTATCTGTGAAGAGAGGAACAGAATTAACATTTCAAATCCAGTATGATTCTTCAGTACTTCAATAAATTATGAACTAAATAATCACAACAAAATATTGATTTTTCTTTTTTTGAGTTTACATTTTTTCTGTTATTGATATTCTTTTTGTAGGAACTGTTGCAGGGCAATAAGACTCCAGTTTCAAATTCCCACATATCATGCCTAAATTTGGTTCTAGGAACTGCATTGTATCAACTATGGTGCCACTTTCATTTCAGAATCTTCTTCCCTAAAGATGATCTGTTATAATTTGCTACAGATGACTGTCTGTAGCTTTTATATAGATAATTCTCACTGTGAAAAAGATGTTTTATATGGGAAATAAATGTTAATGCAGCCTGCCATTGGCTGAATCATGAGCTGTCCAAATGATCACACATTGGTAGTGATAACAGATAAGTGTCTGTGTTCAGTTCCCCCAGCCCAATGCCTCTGACACTTTATTTTAATGTTGTTCTATTGTAATGTTTCAGACTTCATATAACCCCAGAGTAAAGCTTTGGGGATATGAGGTCTGTTGAGTGGGAGTGCTGAGGCTATAGTTGCTGAGGAGTGAGGAGGGGAAAGTTTCAGTTGCTGAGGCTTGGAGGAGAGAGGTGACTTGCAAGTGCTGAGGAGAAGAATTGGGATACTTCCAACTGCTGAGAATCTTGACCGTTGGCATGGGGATATGAGTGATAAGCCTCGGGTGTGCTGATTAGTAGTGTAATATATGTATAGTATACAAATACTTACATTTTAACAGGTATTATTTTTGAAGCGGCAGTGAGGCCTCCAGACAGGAGTTGATTAGACCATGTCTGCTAGTGGAAAAAAGGACAGTCATCGAGAGCAACCTGCAGCTGTCAGAAAGCACTCCAAGTTCCGTGACAGCTATTGCTGCTTCAGAGCTTGCAACCCCGTAGATTTATGATGTGCACCACCACCCGCTATCATAGTTGTGACTCACACTTTGAGTGGTCCTACTGTAGCTATTTTGAAAGTATCAGAAATGCTAAAAAGCTGTGAAACAACCTAACTAGTGCTCAATGTGTAGAATGTAGGTAAGGAGGCATGGGATAGGGGGAAATGTGACAGATTGGATTCAGAATTGGCTGACCCTTAGAAGACAAAGGGTGGTAGTGGATGGAAAATATTCAACATGGTGCTCAGTTACGAGTGGTGTACCACAAGGATCTGTTCTGGGTCCTCTTCTATTTGTGATTTTTGTAAATGATTTGGATGAAGGAGTGGAAGGGTGGATTAGTAAGTTCACAGATGATACGAAGGTGGGTCAAGTTGTGGACAGTGCGGAGGGCTGTTCTAGGTTACAAAGGATATAGATAGGATGCAGAGCTGGGCTGAGAAGTGGCAGATGGAGTTTAACCCTGAAAAGGTGAATCATTTTGGAAGGACAAACTTGAAAGCAGAATACAAGGTTAACGGAAAGATTCTTGGCAGTGTGGAGGAGCAGAGGGATCTTGGGGTTCATGTCCACAGTTCCCTGAAAGCTGCCACCCAGGTGGATACAGTTAAGAAGGAGTTAAGTTGTTAAGAAGTTAAGCGGTAGCTTTCATTAATAGAGGGATTGAGTTCAAGAGCCGTGAAGTTATGCTCCAGCTATACAAAAGCCTGGTTCGGCCCCATCTGGAGTATTGTGTCCAGTTCTGGTCGCCTCATTACAGGAAAGATGCGGAAGCATTGGAAAAGGTGGAGAGGAGATTTACCAGGATGTTGCCTGGAATGGAGGGAAGGTCTTACGAGGAAAGGTTGAGAGAGCTAGGGCTTTTCTCTTTAGAACGACGAAGGATGTGAGGTGACTTGATAGAGGTGTACAAAATGATCAGAGGTATAGATAGTGGACAACCAGAGACTTTTTCCTAGGGTGGAGGTAGCTATTATGAGGGGGCATAGTTTTAAAGTGAGTGGAGGTAGATATAGGGGAGACGTCAGAGGTAAGTTCTTTACTCGGAGAGTGGTCGGGATGTGGAATGCATTGCCGGAAAGGGTAGTAGAGTCGGCCTTGTTAGGGGCATTTAAGTGGCTATTAGATAGGCATACGGATGATATTATAAGGTAGGGGTGGAGGTTAGATAGACCTTAGGATTAGAGTAAAAGTTCGGCACGACATTGTGGGCCGAAGAGCAGTACAGCACAGTACAGGCCCTATGTTCTATGTTCTATAATTGGTTTGTAAATAGTTCTAAGTCTAAGCTGGTAGTGTAATTGTGCTGATAGTTATCATTTTAGAATTCAGTTGACCGTCATGGTGTTTAATTGAAAATGTTCTCATTTTCTTCTTGATAAAATGCTAACAGAGACCTTGTGTGTATAGATTCTGAATTTTCTATTGATTAAAATGAACTAAATTAGCCCTTCAAATATATCAGAGCAAATACAAAAGCATTCTGAAGGCAAAACTTGAGGTGTATGTGAGATTTTGAATTGAATGCCTAGAAAATAACCAAAACAAATCTGTTTCCTAGCTACTTCAGAGGGCTGGGTCTTGAGTGCAGTTCACCTTGTAGCCTGCAATAATCTTAAAATACAAATATCACTGTTCAAACGAGGTGCTAGGCTTTTTAGAAGCAGAAGCACCGTAAACAAATGATCAAATCTTGTTGACTTTACAACCTATTTACAAATTATTTTGGTTTCGCAATTTGTTACTGAGTTATCCTGTTAATATTTCATTTTATCCTTTTTCCTAAACTATTAAATCATTGCTAATTCTGTACATTGGTTGTATTTTTAAATATAATTTAACACTGGTTCTTCACTTCCCACTTTCCAGTGTATCAGTTACAGCAGGAAGCTCCTAATCCAAGGAGGATTACGTGCACGTGTGAGGTTGGTTTCATATTGACTGTGTAACATTGTAAATTTTTGATAGATTTACAGTCAAGTAATGTCTGTCTTCATTTATTTGAAATTACAGTACTTCAAACTATTTTTAAAAATTCAAAGATAACAAAAGTTTTAGGCACAATAGATTTGTTTTTGGGTTTTAATCAAATTCTGAATGGGTTACATGCTCGCATATTAAATAAATTTGGTCCAGCTCCCAAACTGGGTCCATGTGATTACATGTCTGTAGCGCAACAGAGAATGGCTTGTATGATTGATTGAGTGGTTAAAATTGACAACAGAGTGTTTAATACAGAGAAATGTGAAACAGTATAATTTAGAATAATTTATAAAAGGAAGTACATTGTTAATAGTAATAATGCTCAACAATGATTGAGCAGGTATCCAAAGTTCAGATACATGAATCCTTGCAATGTCATTTTTTAAAGGGCATACAAAGGAAGTTGGGGTTCTAGGTTTTATTGTTTATTGAAAATACTGTTTCCAAAAATGTGTGGATTAAAAGAAAATCATGTCTCAACCATAGTGAATACTGTATGCTAAATTTAGGATGGTGCGTAGGTTGGGTGGGGACCATTTGAAGGGGGTGTTGAAGATTATCCCTTAATCTTCCTGCTTTTGTGCTTTTTGTGTTACCAATGTATCAAACATCTGATCAATTTAAATGATACATTTCCAGCTACAGATTGAGGTTTGAGGAGTTGTTATTAAACCTGGTGCCAGGGCCACCAATCAAGCAGATCATTCTGTCCTATGTGGTGGTGGACATCTGAAGTAATGTAGCTGCAGCTAACCAGTTAAATTCACTCTCCTAAATTGAGCTTTGAGGATTGTGGGGAGTCTTGCGAGGGGCCAAGAGTTGAATGGTTTGTTGCTGAAGAGTATGTGTAGTTTTTGTCATCATTCCAGCAATCTGAAGAACATTAAAACAAAGAAAATACCTAATGTTTTATTGGTTTGGAAGAATTATTTTACAAACACTGAAATCCCCATAGGCCTTTTGAATAAGAAACTTCTTGCAAACTTTTTTTTTCTATATGGTGTCATTTTAGTCACACTAATTTTAAAAGTGCATAGTTTTTTTTAGGACAATTTTTTTTTTGCAGTAAAATCAATAGTTTAACTGGTATTAAAATATTCTTTTTATAAAGTCCTATGATTCCACTATAAGCATTATGTAGTGACAGCATTTTTGAAGTTGTTTTTGAGAACAGGTTTTTGCTTCATATAAGGGTTAAACTGAAACTTGTGTAGTTATTTAGTGTGCATATTATATTGAATCCTATGAGTTGAACAGTGCAGGACTTTATGATCTTATTCATTCATATGATCTGATGCTTGATTTCAGTATCTTTTGGTTAAATAGGAAATGTAGCCAGACTCTCTGCTCCTGATTCATATTTAATGACCCCTTACTGTACAGTATGGGCATTGAGTAAGAAGAGGATTGGAATTGAATCTGAGGCTCCTATGAACTCAAATCTTACTGTTTTGTTTTATACTGGAAGAATGGCCTGTTGTTGTGAAAGGCTTCTAATCATTTGATTCATTACAATTAGATTAGTCATGGGTTTTCTTTTTATTGGACGATCGTGGGTTAAGGGAACAGAGTTTAAAATCTAAATAGTTTTAATATGATCCATAGAATGTATTCCAGCAATATAATCTACTTGCATCAGACACATGACTAAACTAAAAGTGCAGTAAAATGTAACAAAATTTAATATGCAGATGAAAAGAAAATGACCAAAGTGTTAAATAATTAACACTGTATATTGGCTCAAAAGCCATTCAAGGTCATAGTATGTTTTGTGCTTTCCAGATGTTCAGAATAGTCATCCATTTAAATACAAATGCTGGAGCTTCATCAAATATATTTCTTGTCACACTATTTGCTACAGTTTGATGCATTGATGCTTGCATCTAAACATTGTACTGACCCTGAAACACACGGCACTCTGGATCCTTGCGCCTGAATATGTAGGGTCAGAATTTTCAGGAGAGTAGCTTCTAGGAGCAAATTTCACTTCATTCTCCCTCGGAAATGTGGAACTATATTTCTAGTCTGAAGTTTTATCATAGTGGAGAACTGTCAGAGAAAGGCACACCACGTGCCTTTTCACAACACTCGGCTGCCATATTCTGAAATTTAATGGTCTTGACAGGTACTGTCAAAAAGTGAGTAGGTAAGGGTAAGTGTGATGGCAGTGTAGAAGGAGGGTATGGTGCCAGATGTTAGTGGTGAAAAGTTCAGGCACATGGAGTGCCAGCTGGGGAGGGCAGCAGTGCTGGACCCTGGGAGGTCGGGTCCAGTGGTGGCAGCGTAGGGTCAGGTGTTGAGTCTGGTGGAGAGGCTGGGGGTAGCTTGGGTGTGGTTTTTTATTTAAACCTTCATCACGTGAAACTATAGGTTAACATTTTAACTTTCTTGTAACTAGGTTGGATAGATAAGAGTATTTTCATTTCTTATTTTCTTTTCTCAAAATCATTATTTGTAATATTGCTTGGGTAGCTGAATATTGTGCCTTTTCTGAACTGTAGTAGCACGATAAAGTCAGTGTTTGGCCTTGCTGCACTTCGCAAAGTCTACATTACACTGTTGCAGCTTATGTTCCTCTTTCAGCCATTCTGGATGTCACGGGCTCTGTATTCCCCATTCTTGTATGTAAAAGTTAGTCAGGAGTCCACCCACGAGAAACCCAGCTTGCTGTTCCTGCTGCTTTATGCTTGGCAGAGCCTTTATCAGCTCAAGCTGAGATGTTATCTCTTCCATCTGGGCTGATGTCCTACTTTTAGTGACCAGCTAATCCAAGTGGTCTGCAGCAGTGAAGCTCATCAGTACCAGGTTCAGGCAGTGTCTCCTGCAGAGACTACAGGCAGACTGAAGTCCAGTCTAGTGTATCGGATCTAACTGACCAGCCCCAGTGAGGGAGTAGGGAACTGAGTTTGAAAACTCACTATGTAGGATAAAATTGGAGCATGACCTTGTACAGGGTACCTCTGTGTATAGGGTTCCCTTAAAGAGGATTTCCCTGCATCTTGCCCAATACCAGCTTGCCCAGTAAGATATTAGCCTGGTGATGACAAAAAGCCATTGGGATGACCATGTGCGGTATTTTGCAAGCCTGCTGTGCCTGAACACTCAGTGGAAAGCATAAAATCCAGGGCTAGGTTCCTGTTTTCCAGTAATTTTTCATTTTCTCCTTGTGCTCATACAACTTGGTGTAAAGAAGACATCGTTGTTCATGTCAATTATTTCTAATTCATGATGACAGGTATTAGACTTTTTTAAAAAAGGTTTTAAACAAAACCGAACACTGACTGAAACAAAACATGCTGTCAATTTTTGTTATGTAACCATATCCTATTACATTGGGATGGAGATAATCAGTCCATGAACGACCACTAGAGATGATGGCTTCCCAGGAGAGGTGTAAGTAGCTTGTTTAATTTATCAAAAATGAAGATTCACAGTATGCAACCACAGAAGAATGAACGATTCAGAAGTTAATTGCTTGGACATGCAACAGCTAAGTGTGCAATTAGGATGCGAGCTCATCAGAGCGAGCTTTCAGACCATACAATGGCTTTGTTTGAACTTGCGTTGGCAAGCTGAAGAGTCAGCGTATGATACAACTGTGTGCTTGCTTGGACTAATAGAAGGTACAACCAGTAATGAGGAAAAGTCCTTCTGCGCACATGCATTCTCTCTCTCCCTTGCGCATTCACTCTCTCCTTCCCATATGCTCGTGCTTTTCCACTCAAGATAATATGTTGTCTTAAATTTGAACTGTGAGCAACAACCAGAAAATCATGCATGAAGGCTTCACAGCAGCAATTCTGGAAGAAAGAAGGCATACTAACTGTCTTTTTAAACAATCTTAGTTGAGCAACAAAGCTCCAGATCTACAATAATTGAACTGTTGTTTATCTTATTGAATTGTATCTTGGCCAAAATTAACCTTCTTTACTCTAACTTACATTTTTCTTGCTGCTCAGTTTGTGTTTGTGAGTTTGTGTATTTATGCACATTTTGTGGAAGTCAGGCCATATTTTACTCTGATGTGTTTTAGCACTGTAAAACTGACCCCTGACCTGCTTAATTTAAGATATTTTGTCTGGCTAATTTGCTATCATCCACATGGCTCCAAATAGGTGTATACTAAATTGGGAAATACACACCTCAAAAAAATTTCCAATGTCTGTTGCACTCAAATAAGTAGTGGGAAAAGAGCGAGATCATTCCACTCATCTGATTCTAACATTGGCTTACTGTTTTTCATATTTCCTCTTTTAAATTCTTTAGCGTATCTCGCAGTTTGTTGTTAGTCTCCGGTAAGTTATTTTCCAAGTGTGATAGTGTTAAGGTGTACATGCAGTACAGTACTTTTCTTAAACACTTCATTGTCATTGTTTTTCCTCTTTGAAGTTCTTCTGTTTGAAGTATATTCTGTTGAAGTTTTGACCCAAGGTTCAGGATCTTGCTTTTCAAAGCATCCTGTACTAACTCTAAAGAATGCAACTTCTCTTCCTATGTGCTCTTTTTTAACTTGCGAAATTATGTTCTGTCAGCTTTCAGACTTACCCAGGTTAATAACTTTTTTGCCATCTTGGAGCTACGATTATTTATAAAAATCATCCTTTTTATCTTTCTGAGTTGGCTTTCTGCCTCTTCTACAAAAAACTCTTTCAATATTGGCCCTGAGAATTGTTTGTATGGCCTTGCGTATTGTCTCTAATACTTTGGAATTTACCCAGCTTGTAGGTCCAGTGACTTCAGTAATCCATTTATTTTCTTCCATCACTTCCGAGTTTTCTTCAAAGGTATGATTTCGGTTTTCTTGGCACTTTACATTTGGGATTTCTTCTCAGGTTTCTTCTCTGGACCAATAGTGATGTGATATTCAAAATCTTCAAAGTGACTGACCAGCTAATCAAGACACTTGAGTACATTTGGATCAGACCTTGCTTCTGACCAGAGGGTGGCTTTACTTGGATGTGTTACCTTCAAACTCCGTACCTCCTTGATTAGTCGGATCAAGTGATAGCTCTTTGCAACAGCTCAACCCAAAAGTAGTAGAAATGGAACGTGCAGCTGATATTTATTTTCTTTGTGTGTCCCCAGTTGCCGAATATGAGGTAACTCTGATATGCAGGGCATTTCCTTCCATCTCTCAACTCCTGGCCACCCAAAGTTCTTGCACACATTTCTTTACATTCTTTAATTTTCATTGTTTTGTTCCTGATTCACTATGTTAACACTGCTAACTTTCCTTTGACTTAATGGGAGGCCACATTGGCGTTTCCTCGTTGGCGTCTTCATCTGTCCAAATGGCTGGTTTGCAATCCAGAGTGACACCAACGGTATGGGGTCAGTTCTATCTGAGGTTACCATAAAGGTCCCACCTTCTCAGCTTCACCTTGCCTGAGGTCAAGTGACTCTTGGGTTAAACCACCACGGACTCTGTCCCTCCCTGCTGAGAAAGCGGTTGTATGGTCCTCTGGAGCTATGGTACCTTTACCTTTACCTTTACCTTTTACATTTGCTGGCTATATTTCTCAGTCTTGTTAAGAACACATTAACAAGCCTGTTTCTGTCTCAAACTTTGCAATTCATATTGTTTGATTCGATTTGACTTTGGAGATGTGTGCTGAATTTCTTAGTTGTTATCTGGGTATTTGCTGTCATTGTCATTCATATCCCAGAATTAAGTCTAAGCATTTCTCTGCTACCCACAGAAGGATATTGTTGTCCTCTTCACTGGTGTTTATGGAAAGCTACTAAATGTCAAATAATCTGCACATTGTTTAAACTTCTCAAATTCCTGTGACAGCATCATTCCACCTGAGTTAGAACTATGATTTTGCTGTGCTGTGGCCATACTGAGACTTCTGTTTTTTCCCTCTGTCTGGATTTTGCTCAATCTAATGCAAGCATTTATTTAGTTTGTAACTTTGCTTATATTTTGCTTGCAGACATCTGCCATCATGTTGTATATTTTTGCCCCAAGAGTAGGAAATAATCACCTTTTTAAACCGAAATGCTAGAACTTCATTTAATGTATTTCTCAGATGCAGCATGGCTGTATGGACTGATTCTTCTATCTTGGTACATTGTCAATAGTGTGTGATGTGGCACTCTGGATACTTGTGCTTTCATACACATGAACATATTATTCCAATATGATTTAGGAACTATAACAACAGCAATAGTGCTGACATTTCACCACATCAGTTACTTTATTGTGTTCACAATTGGTTGCATTAATATAGATACTGGAATACAAATAATTCTGTATAATGTAGTTTAAATGTGTCTACGCCAAAACAAAATCCACTGTCATCAGTTTTAATTAACTCCCAGAAGCTTTGTAAGGATTAATGAACTATATGTGGCTTGAACTATGTCAGTTTTCCTCAAACTCCATTATAGTTCCTCGGAGTGTTTTGTCTTGAGGTGAAAACTGGAGATTTAATAGCCACTGGGGTTCTCATTTTAATGAAGCTACAGAAATGTTAATCCTCTATTAAATTGTCAGGTGCATACCTACTGGCATAGTCAGTCCCTGCTGTTTGCTTTCATATTCAATTAAGTCAAGATGAAGTATCAATGTTGTTTTTAGGTGCACTTCATTTAAACTGGAAAGGTATTTTATTCATGCAGTTAGTAAAATCTTAAGGTTTTTTATCTTCTATGTATTTATGGGAATTGCTTTTGAGGATAGTGGATAGTTGAGGTTGCTCTTTCAGCATCAATTCATAGTTCATGTATCTGACCTTTTTTAGCCTAGTTCAACATTATTTAGTATTTTTAAGTGTAATTTCTTTGCACTTTTTCTGCTCGGCTTGATCAAGGTTTTTTTTTTTTTGTTTGTAATAACTGTGTATCTATTCATACCATAAATATTCTGCAGTAGTAAAAGAAGCCCAAAATAGGTGCACAAGTGTTCAGTGTGGTAGTTGGGTTGCATCCACACATTGCCGGCCTTAGTGTTGATAATATAGGAATAGGTTTTGGATCCTTTGAGCATGGAAATTTGGAGCCTAATGCCTATTTGAAGCCCATTTTGCAAAATTGCATTGTTTATGAATATCATTCCTCAATTATAATTAACATCACCTTTGGTTAAGTTTTACAATGTATGTTAAATACAGTACTTTAATGTCTTTTTTTGCAGTAAACAAGTTTGTTTTTAAACAAGTAGACTTCTTTTTACTTGCAGGTGGAGAACAGACCCAAGTACTATGGAAGAGAGTGAGTGCAGGTTTAGTTTTGAATTTTGCATTTTATGAAGCTGCTTATTTAACTCTGTTATAGATGGAGTAGTGAAAAAGTCCTTTACAAAAAATATGCATTTTGTGATAATTGTATTTTAAATATTTCTGCAAGGCTGCAAGTTTGTGAGCTATAGCACTGCCTGCCTTGCTGTTCCTGCCATCCTATGTGTCTTATGATCTCAAATAAGAGGAAAGAACTTTACATAGAATCACATTGAACATGCAGCACCGAAATAGATTGGCCCTATCTGTCAAAACTAGGTTCGTGCTGCCATCTGACCCTCTTAATCTTCTTCATCTGACTGTGTATCAACATAACCCTCTCCCCTTCACATACATCATTATTTTTGTACCTTGCGTCTCTGAAATATTCTGAAGAGCTTCACACGATGAAATGTATTGAATTCCAGGATCAGCTATGTACTTTGAGTGACACCGAGAGCACTGCCTGTCATTTTGAAGCAGTGAAGGCTACCAAAAACAGATGTTATACCTACCCAGCAAATTTAACAGTGGCACAAAGCTGCAAAGGGTACATGCCTGCTTTTATGTGATCAGTTAAGTGACTCATTTGAGGCACTGTCTTGGATTGCACTTTTTTTTATTCTTGTTTTCTGTCACCCGTGTGTATGCTATTTCGCAGTGATAAATGCAATACCTGAAATACATTCTTGTCTCTATAGCACAGTGACGCAGTTACCAACAAGACAAAAATAGAGATTAAAAAATAGTAAAGGATTTAGCCACCAATAGATGTGGCCTTAACTACAGGAAAGAAGAAATGTGTAGAAAAAGTAGGGATTTGAGTAATAAGCACAGAACACAAATCATGAGAAGTTTCCCACCCTGATATTAATTGCACAGAAGTGGTAAGTAAAGCGGCTAAAGAATGGAGTTCTTAAAAATGTCTACAGGACTCCTTTCCAACCCAATATGTGGATTACTCAACTCAAAGGAAAGTTCACTATTGGATCTGGTAATGGGGAAATGACCCAGAGCAGAAGGGAGGAGTGAAAGTAGGGGATCATCTGTGTTAAGTTCTAGGAAAGACCATGAGGCTGAAGTGATTAGACAGCAGGAGCTTTGTTATGGAGGTCTTCACTGTACATGCAGCAAGGTTAGAGAGAACTGTTTGTCATTATTACATCATGTGATCAGACTCTTAAAATGACTGTCGACCATACTTGCACAATACACAACATCCCTCCCATTTTCCATCAGAGGTTCCTTCAATGAAAGCATTTACAGTATGTACAATCCTATGACAGTCAATAGGTAAGATGTTCCAGAGAATGTCGATTCTTGTGTGACATCTGCGCAACTTGGCCATTATTTATTTTTATTGGCTTTAACCTCTGGTGTTTTATGTGTACTAGGGACATCATCTGTTATTGTCTTTTCCTGAGATCACTGAATGTGTTGCTCAATGTCATGATATTCTCCATTGTCCCCTCAGATGCTCCAGTTACTGTTCTGACGTCACGTATATCCAGGTCTCTCTTTTTGATGTAGTTATTTGTGGATCTTCAAGTAATGTTGTCCCTGCCACATTTGTTCTTGTTGCCAAAAGTTGATCTGCATGTCTTCTCCATCTTATGTCATTTCTAATCTATATATGGTATCGGAAACAAGTCTAATTAATGTTACAATGATGGCTTATACCCACTCATTGCCAGTGATGTAATTCCTCACTAGCACTTGAACTTTTTGGAAAATACAGGGTTTGACTTGGCTCTCTCATTGGAAAACCTGTGTCTGTTGTTTCTGTCAATAATACCTTTTGTCAGGGTGGTTTCAGCAAATAAAATGCTGTGTGCAACTGACAATTTAGTATGAGCAATGACAGAATTTTGAACTGTCAAGTGGTTTGTGGTCTGGTATATAACAAAAATTGGCTAAGTCTTTTGGGTAACATTTTGTTCTTGAGTTACTCTTAAGGCATGTTTTATTGTCTGACCAACCTTTTCTGTCAAACCATTCATGGCTGAGTGATAAAGAGTCGATCAGAAATGTTGAATTTCATCCTTCATAAACTCTCATGATGTAAACTGTAGGCCATTATCACCAACAAGTTGTTTCAGATAACCAAACTTCTCAAAAGACCTGCCCATCTATCAATGGTTCTATTGTCATCAAGTTTGCAACTTCAGGCCATTTAGGATGTGTGTCAACCAATATGAAAAACATTGTGCTTCAAAAGGTCTGGTGTAATTAATATGTACTCTTTGCCTTGGCAGTTCTAGCTATGTTGCTACTGGAGGTAGGTTGAGAACTCTTGTGTAAGCTACATATATTCCAGCCATCTCAATTTTCAGAATTATCCTAGGCCATCACAACAGCTTCATTCTGACAATGCTACAGTGACCTTTTGTGTAGCTGAGATGGAATGTTGATCCTCATTCCCCATAGGAGCTGCTTGTATAGATAGTTCTTGCTTCGGTGTGATGTATGGCTTCAGTTCTGGTGCTGTTCCTGTGATCTGGCCTTAAAGTACTCTGTCCATCACTTTTGATAGTGGATTATTTCTAGTGTACATAACTTGTCTTGTTATTACCAGGGTGTTCTCTACCTATTTGAACTAGAAAATGAGTATGTAAGGACTGTTTGTGGTCAACTCATTTGGCAAAGATTGGGGCTCATTGGAGTTTAGAAGATTGTGAGGTGATCTCATTGCAACATGTAGGATTCTTTAAGGGGTTCGACAGGTAAATGCTGAGAGAATGTTTCCTTTCATGGCATAGTCTAGGACCAACCATCAGAGTCACAAAATCATGGGGCACCAATTTAAGGGTTAGGTGAAGAGGCATTTATTTTGAAAGTTGAGTGGCTTTAGAACTCCTAGCCATAGAGAGCTGTGGGGATGGAGTCCTTGTGAATATATTTAAGGCTGAGAAAGATTCTTGATCATTTGGGGAATCAAATGTTTTGGGGAAAGGGCAGGAAAATGGATGTGAGGAGTGTCCATTCAACCACGATCCTATTGAATGGAAGATCAGGCCAGAGAGTCCGAATGGTCTTCTCCTGTTCCTATGTCTTATGATCAGAGGTAATCGAGAAGGCCTATCAGCACTCCCCATGTAAATTCGATTGCTAACACTTAATTGTATAAGTGTGAGATGATGGTAACAACGTTCACCTGTGCGAGCAGCTCATTGCTAGAAAAGGTATCCCTGTATGTGATTCAAATATTGTTATCAATGGCCTGTGGTCTGTTAGTAGGGTAAATTCCCATCCATTCGGGTATTTTTGGGATCATATAATGCCAAAATTGATTGCGAGAGCTTCTTTCTCTCTCTGTGCATAGTTCACTTTTGCTTGGTTTAAAGATCTTGATGCAAAAGCTATTGGCTTCTCTTCACCTTTAGGTAAAATATGAGAAATGACTCCTCCCACTCTTGCTGTGAAGCATTCCATGCTACTTGCAATGGCAACTTCAAATTTTAATAAAACCTCTTTGACTTGTCAAGGCTCTTTCACGTTGATCTTCCCATTTCCGATTCTTGTTTGTGTAATTTATTTTGCCAAATGTCTTGAATGGTTGCACGATTTGGGGCAAACCTGCCATACTAAGATCACAATTAGTTTTCATTTTTAGGTGCTGGTGCCTCAGTCCTGGTTTTTACTTTTGAAGGTGTCTTTTGTAGTCTGTTAGCATCAATCAAATGCCCTAAAAATTTGAAGGAAGATTTAAAAAATTCACATTTGTCTTTCCTCACTCTTGGGCCAATAACTTCATGTCTTTGCAAAGTAGCATCTAAATTGTTAAGATTTTTTTTCAGGACAACAAGGTGCAGGGCTGGATGAACACAGCAGGCCAAGCAGCATCATAGGAGCAGAAAGGCTGACGTTTCGGGCCTAGACCCTTCATCAGAAATGATGAAGGG